AAAGGAAAAAAGGAGGGAAAATTCGAAAGGTGGGGTTGAGATGGGAGGTTAGTTTCCGAGCGGATCGAAGTCAAGATAGCTCAAGTGGTTGTTTCAACGGCGTATTTAGCCGAAGGTCGTGGGTTCGAATCCCGCTCGTGATACTGGCTTTTTTATCTCAAATATCTTACATAAAAATTGTTAGGATAGTTTACAAGATGGTAGTTTTCCTAACCTTCCACTAGAAGCGAAACATCCGGGACTCCTTATCGATGGTTATGTGCAATTAGTGGTAGATTTTCGACCAGGGCAAGCTACCTTTTAACAAAGCGATAAAAGAACTAAACGAAAAACGTTTACAAAAATAAAGTGGTCATCATTAACGATCAACCGCACTTTATTTGTGAACGGTTCAATCGGGTTGAGTGTATCGGTCGGTAAAACGATTCCGCGAAAACCTGAGACGTAAAGGGTAATAGGTCTAGTATTACCAATGGAATAAAAAAAATATTGAAAACGGCTCAGTTTACCCGTACAACAGTTTAATTAGTTAGAATAGACTAAAGGAATATAACCGTGACGTTGTGAGTCTAACGAAAAAGGAGCTTTAATGAAACTGAAAAGGCTAATTGGAACGGCGATTTGGCGAGGAACAAACAGCAATATGACGAGAGCATCTCATTTTCGAGAGGTCGATTCGAGGGTCTGTTTACATTGAAATTTCATTTTGGCATGTTTATACTGAAGGCGGTGTCTTTCATTTTCGCGAACTCAAACAAATGCTTTTGTTTCCAGCTTGAATTCTTGATAAATCCATTAAACGGCGAATGGATAACAACTATTTCGAAAAAAATAGAAGTAGGTTATTTTATAATAACAATGTTTTTATTACTATTGTACCATTTCTGAAAAAATCATAAATATTGGCCTCCTGGCTTCCGAGTTCAACCGATTACAAGGAATCAGACAGACAGACACGGAACCAAATTTGTTCAGAAAGGTCTGAAACGCAAAATACGAATGGCAATTGTTTTTGTTGAACAACAATTTTTTTCGACTTCCCGCACGAATTCCACACCTTCGGCAGCTCGGAAGCAAACTTTGTTCAGAAATATATGAAACTCAAAATGCGAGAGGAAATTTTCATTTTGGAAGAATACACATTAAAGAAGGACAAAGGACGAATATAATAAAATTGTTCATCAAGTTCTGAAAAAGAAAATGGAAGTGCAAATTTTAATTTTGTAGGAAAAAAATTGTTCCGATTTCCCCAATGAATAAGGCTTCCGGACCTATCTTTGGTATTGGGTTGATGCAAATAAATGCAAGTTTTCTTTTTTGCTTTACTTTTAATTGTGTAAACATCCATTATGCTAAGGGATACACATCGTTTTAAAGCCTGTTTATCTCACTTTTTTCTCCTGCAATCCTTTTAGTAAAACATTTAAGTCAGTCTGTTCAGTACCTTCCAAAAATGTCTAAGAGCGATTTTCGGCAAATTTATTTCCATTAATTTAAACTTGGGCGAAGTGTAGCGCAAACCGCTGGAAACATTAATGAAATTTGGGAGTAAGGAATCATAAATTAATCTACAGTGCAGCGTTGGTTTCAAAAAATCCGTAATGGAGATTATGACCTCAAGAGCAAAGAAGGTAGTGGCCGACCTTGTCGACGTTGGCTGAAGACTTAAAGCTATAGTTGAAGCTGACCCCACCATAAACTACTCGAGAAATAACGGAAGAATTTGATGTTGACCAATCCAGAGTCGTTCGCCATTTGGAAGCCATTGGGAAAATCCGTTTCTCAATCGAAAAATGGATATTGTACGATAACAGACATCGTTCTAGAAGTGGCTAGATAAGAGTGAAAAAACCAGGTTCTTTCCAAAGCCAAGTTTTCATCCAAAAAAATTATGGTCACTGGTGGTCACTTCCTCAATCCGTCAACCCGGGTGAAACTGCTGAAAAGTACTGTAATGAAATTAATTACATGGACCGAAAACTTCGATATTTATGGCCAGCATTAATCAATCGGAAGGTACCTATCCTCCTTCCGACAACGAACGCCCAACGGACTCTGGCACGACTTCGTAAGTTGGGTCAAGAGCTTTGACCAAATCCACCATACTCACCGGATCTTTCTCCTACACATTATCACTTTCTTAAACGTGTCAACAACCTTTTGTGCGAGAAACGGTTCAGAAGTCAGAATAACATAGAAAATGCATTTCGGGAGTTCGTTGATTCCAGAGATCCTAGTTTCTACTCTTCTAGGATTAATATATTGATTGTGCGTTGTCTATGTATGTATAGATGTACATGTATAGACAGTTTGAAGATAAATTGTAGCTTGTTTTTACCGAAGATTAAAAACCCGCATTCTTTTGCATCAACAGAATAGTTCGGAAGCAAAACACACAAATCAAATAATACAAATTACTTACATAAAAGTAACGTGTAATATATATTTCAATCTATAAAGCTCGTAAAAATAAATACGATTATAATAATATTGTTTATATATTCTAAATTTTTAATTAAGTTAATGTTTTGTCTCAGGTTTTCGCTGTTTTCGTTTCCCGGCTCACGAGCTAATTCATCAGATATGAAGTGAAACATTTTTCATTACGAGTAAGCTTCTTAAAAATGTAAAAATATTCCCTTTTGGTCTTTATTCGTAAATATTTTTAACGGAATCGAAACCCCCGGATTTTTTTTAACTTTTGGCAGATCAAAGAAAATATTTAAAGCGTGGACCTTTTATGGAAATCGTTTTGAATAAGACCTACAAAACTTTTTTTTAGCGCTTTCCTTCTACACTTGCAAACAAATTTACCACTTGATTTATAATAACGTTTAATTTTTTAATAAGTCGATAAGTTGCTAAGTAACCAGAATAATTAATTACTTAGTCAAATCATAGAACAACTTTTTTTGACGGATTAATTGGACAAATTTGATAATTATAATGACGTTATTCATTTTTGAATTATTTGATCTTTTATCTATCTACAAGAGCTTGTTTACAATTTTAGACTTGGTAAGTGTCTTTAGATTAGTAAACATTTTACTATAAGCTCAACTTATTTTGGACCTTGCTTAAAAAATAAAAAATGCGCGGTACACAAATAGCACAAAATAGTAATTGAATTCTAACATTTTTGTTTTTCTGGTTGAGATGTTGCAGAAATTTGATTGTTTGGCAACTGGTGAATTAAGATCATTCAGTATGTTGTCTCTCCGTCCATTTGTCCAGTTCGGGTTTTAGCGTGCTTTGATTTATTAGCGTGAATGAAGGGGCTCATTCACAATTACCCCAAGGAATACCGATGGGTAGTGTGAATGCTAACCAGACTATCATGTTTTCTCATGTTTCTGTGTATTAATGTGTGGTGATTAGTGACCGTTAATCGATAATTATTCAGAAATCGTGAGATGCGGATTACAACAGACAGCATCTCACGATTTCTGAATAATTTTCTGTGTATTTGTGTTTTTTATCCGCAATTAACGATGTCCTGAGGTACGGAGAAGCCATAGGGCAATGAAAAGAAAGAGGCGATTACTGTTGTGCCATAAAATATCGTAACTTAGCTGGAGAAAGAGAAAAAGTTAGTAGGATTAAAACGCGAGAAAGATAAGAAAAGAAATGTCTAAGGCAGAAAGGACTGGCCATGACGAAAGTGTTTGCCTTCAATCCTCTCGTGTCGTGGCACCAAAGCCACATCAGGGTTGCCTGATTTCCTTTTCCCAGGGGTTGGCAATATGTTAGACATTCCAAGATCTGTTTTCTGTTGAAGGTGGAGGGCTTCAGTGCTTCTTGGCTAAGAATATCTTAATATGTGAATCTATTAATCCTTTTTAAGTATTTCTTGTGCTATTCTGGATGAATCTCAGCATGTAAAATGGATGGTGTGGATCCAAAAGGTTTCGCTAGGGCTCAAAATTTGTATCTTCAATTCCTGCCCCCACACCACGTTTCATTTTATTCTTATCATCACTCGTTGTTATTTTTGCTTGGTAGGGTCTGTCAAAATATTCTTTCTATTACATTTTGTCAGACGATTTGTTCAGCCATCTAGCTTTTTAAAATACTTTTCATTATTTTATGATGGTTTCTCTTAAGTCGTTTTATTTCAAATTGACCTAAGAGTCTGTTAGCACTTTCGTATGCCATCTTCTGTATGCATGTATGCAATGGTGGCAATCCTAGTGCCACTTCCATTTCTAAATTGGGCATGTGTGCATTGCCTCTATAATTTTTAAAATTAATTTTGTGTCTTCTTTTACCATGTTTTTGATCACCATAGTAGGGTTCCATTTGTAACTAGAATTGCTGTTGTATACAGAAGTTACCTAACTTTACTTAGCTTAGCTGAATGAGAGTTTCTTTAACAGCTTTACTCTCAGACGCCCGATAACATCTGAAAATAGTACCATAAAGATTTTACATGCCTGGATTTGTCATCGCCTGGAAATCGAGGTGGTGCAATGCTAGCCAGGTTCAGAAATGCTCTGACAAGAGCAGATCCGATCTATCTCCGGTTCCTGTACTCTCCAAGTAGGTTAAGAAGTAAAGGGAAAAATCATCTGTTACCCTTAGACGCCAGAGCTGATGGTAGGTCTTGTCTAGGCTCAGGACCCTATGGGGTGAACTATTGAATATGCCTGGTAGGCAGTGTTTGGTTTTATGCATTTATCGTTTCTACTGAAATGATCGGAAACGATCGATGTGCAGGTTCATCACCCAATAGGTTCCAATAAGAAATCTCACAATATAAGCGTCTGTCGATGATTTTGGAAAAGATGTACTAATTATTCCCATACTTAGTAAATAATAGAGTATTGATAGTAATAATTGGGCGGGGGATGTAAAACAATAAAAACCGTATTGTCTCGTCAAGATAGAATCATTCTTCAAGCCTTCATCTCGCCCGTCTGTCAGCATGGAAGAGATAAACACTGACATTGGATCAAGGGATCAGAGAGGCGAGTTAATCTACATTTAATCTGTACTCGCTCCAGTAGGGGACTAGCGTTCCAGGAAGTTACGAGTTGGCGTTCTCCTCGAGTAGGACGTTCGTTATTTAGTAGTACGAACGGCGCGAGTGGGAGCCGTCGTTATCGCGGATATGACACTCGGTGAATCCTCTCATTGAAGCGAGAAACGCGATGGTGACCGGTGGCTTTTTCGCCTTCGCTGCTTTGCACTTTGCCGCTGCGACGTGGGCGGTCGAAGTACCAGCCGGGTTGGGGCCATGCATTTCGGACGTCAACAGCAATGATCCATGTGTGCACGGGCGTAACGTAAGTATACAAGTTATTACCCTCTGACGATTACAACTGATAAGATTCCGTCCCAGTTGATTGTTTCATAAATGAAAATAAACACAAATCCTCACATAAAGTTTTTTTTTTATTCAATGAAAAACACCATTTACACACAATTCAAATCAATGACGAAATGATGGTGATGATTTCTATCGATTTATGCAGAAACAATGAGAGATCGTTTGCATCACACAGCCCTGAAAATTAAAATGAAACTCCGATTTGTTATTCCTGAAGTATATCGAATCGATTTATTGAAACGAAACATTATGGTTAATTTTAAGAATTATTGTTATTGCAATAACATAACGTGGTAGCACACATGCGCATTATTTGTGCACCTCTCTAAAACGTTCGTCATTTTGTCCCCAAAATAGAACAAAACTGTACCGGATATTTGTAAATATCAATAATCAAATCACATTTCGAAGTCGTTGAGCTGAATCGGCTTCTGATAAGCTATAAAAAAAAACTTTTTAAAAATGATATACAATTAATTATGTAAGGTTTGAGCAAAAACGCAATTTATTTTCAAATTGGTGGATCAAACATATAAGAATTCAAAACTATCACTATAATAAATTTTATTCTAACGATACTTATTAATCATTCTAAATTGTAGAATAGTGTGGAGCTTATATAAATCAAACAATATAGTTTTATATATGTAATTATTTTATTTTTGCAAGCCTAAGCATCACGTTTTTTTAGTCAATACCAAATGTTACAATGTAGATTGCAATAAACAAATTTAAATTAGAAATGAAATATACATTCTTACTAAAAAAACAAAAATCAAAAGGTATAAATAAATAGTTATTTAAGTAATTGTATAACTTATATACATACTTATTTATGCTTGTGCAAAAAATTGTAAAAACAGTCCAATAAAAAAAAACGTAAATGTCGGAAATCAAAGAATCAACCAATCGTTTAATTATCGTATTCAAAACAAAATTCTTGAGGCTAACTAGTTTTAATAGTTGATGATTGACCGAAATACAGCCTATTCAAAAGATTATATATAACTTCTATAATCTATATCTTATTGGAAATAAATATTTATTTAACGTAAAAAATATTTGGCTATAAATATAATGATTATGTAAGTTCCATTATTGGGTCGAGGTTGATCAGACTTTTTATGATGAAATATGCATAAGTGGTAATATGCTTAAATAAAAAAACCACCAAAGTGTGATTTTAATTGGCGATATTTGCCAGTTTATCTTGATTAAAAAATTATTTCATTATTTTTTGTTTGTTTTTGTACATTAAAAATCAAATGTAGAAACCATTCCTTTGCATAGTTTGATACATGAAAAATGTTTGTAACGGAAAGTTTGTGGGAAAAAAGTTTCCGTTGATATTGACCGATAAGCGATGATATTGATAAATGGAAAATAGGAAAAGGCTTTTTGATTCTATTGCGTCCGACACATTCGCAAGAAGAAATTCTATCATCTCAAAAAACTAAAAGAAAATATGTAGGGAAATGGTTTTACCCAAATTCTGACTTACACTTATTACTCAATTAGTGCACCGCATATGATAGTAACACCAATGGTTGGAATGTTTATATGAAAATGAAATAAAAATGTAGCCCAACTTTTTTTTTTTTTCAAAGGAAAAATTTAGATGTAATATGTATATAACTGTAAAATTTGTATATTACAATAAACAGACAGTCCTCCCACCAGCGTGTACGCGGTGGAACTAAACGACATATCCCTCGCACTGAGCATCATAAAAAGTCAAAACCGTAACTCCTTTACTAATTAAGTACGGACTCACTCAGTGCGGTCAAGAAGCTAATGAGAAGAGCCTCCGTGGACCCTCTAAAAAATAAGATGTTCAAATTGTTTAAACGAAACGAAGCAGTTGCGGTGAAGGTCATACTGGCAAGGGTTCCCGGCCACATAGGGATGGCCTGGAACGAAGGAGCAGACAGAGTGGCCAAAGAAGCCGCCAGAAGACCCACGACGCTTCCCAACCTGTACGCCCAGCAGATTTAAAACTATTAACATTTTTAAAATTTTCCCTCCTTTTTGCCATTTTTCAAATGTCGTGTAATCGGATTGGAATCTCTGCGACAAATGAAATGGCCACAGAGAGCTTCGAATCCCGCTCGTGCCATTGACTTTTTTATCTCAACTAAAAACCTTAATTAATTGTAATATATTAATTGGTCAAGCGGACCACGAAATTAGTGATTTTAGTGATTTTAATGATTTAAAATGAAGTATACTTCACTAAAGCTCTCCGTGGCCATTTCATTTGTCGCAGAGAATCCAATCCGATTACACGACATTTGAAAAAGTGAAAAAAGGAGGGAAAATTTAGATGGTGGGGTTGAGAAGGGAAGTTTGTGTCCGATCGAGGTAACGATAGCTCAAGTGGTAAAGCAGCGGCGTATCTAGCCGAAGATCGTGGGTTCGAATCCCGCTCGTGCCATTGATTTTTTTATCTCAACTAAAACCCTTAATTAATTGTAATATATTAATTGGTCAAGCGGACCACGAAATTTGTGAATTTAACTATTAACACCGTGGAACTAAGGAAACAACCGTGCCAAACTGTGGCAGGTTAAGAAACTGGTCGACAGACAACGATTCGAAAAGAAAAAGACCATACGGACAAGACTGCGTAGGAATGGCAGGAAAGCGACCCGCAGGTGCCTGTTATGACGGATAACTGTCGAGCACATTTCTTACCGTAGAAAGCTTGATAAGTAGGCAATATTTTGACATATCGTTAGACCTGCGAAGCCTTGGGTCACGCAGGCGGGCACTGATCTCTTTTCCGGTACTTCAGGGCTACATGGTTTTTAAATGTATATAGTGTAGGTTTGTGTCACTGTTGTGATTATTTTAACTTATAAATGTAATTTGTTAGTGTGAAAGGAAGGGGTGTTTAACTCAGCCCCGAGGAATATGGAGTACTCTTGGGTGAATGTGGATACTAACTGGAGAGTAAACCAGATAGTTATTAGCGAGAATGGAGTGGGTTCAACCCCGCCCCGAGGAATGTCGAATACTCAGGAGGACCAGACGTTTAAGTTTGTATCGGGTTTTGTGTTTATATTAATTTATTGGATTGAATGCAATTTATTAGCGTGAAAGGAAGGGGTTTTAACCCCGCTTGAGGGATGTCGAGAACTCTGGGGGTGTGAATGTGACCAGACTTCTATGGTTGCATCGGGTGTTGTGTTTATGTTAATTTATTGGAAAGAATGTAATTTGTACACGCTCAAGGCAAAATACGCATGAAAGAACAGAAAAAGAAGGAAACTAGGCCGGCAATGGCCTCAGCTGTTTGTCGGCGCATAAACCTCCCACTTTATGTAATCAGAAATGTTTAGTCTAAACCCATAAACAAAAAATACAATAAAACGTAGTTTATGTTTAATTTTTATTTATTTTTTAAATTCACTAGTTTTCGTGGCCCGATTGACCAATTAACATTTTTCAATTAATTAATATTTATGAAAGGTATTTGTTGAGATAAAAAAGTCAACATCACGAACGGGATCCGAACCCACGACCTTCGGTCAAATACGCCGCTGCTCTACCACTTGAGCTATCGTGACTTCGATCCACTCGGACACCAACTTCCCATCTCAACCTCATTTCTAGAATATGAAATCTAACTGGAGTTTTTTGTTCTTTAGTTTTATTTTTGTTTTTTAGTGTACTTCATGATTTTAATTTTTTTATCCAATATACTTTGATTTTTATCAACGATAAATTTAACTTTTGATAGCGTATCTTAATCAAGTTTATGCCATTCCCAATTAATTAATTTACCAATTAATAAATTAATCACTAATTTATAATTATTTTCTTATGGTATTTATTAATATAATATCTAATTGTGGTATAATTCCCGCTTTTCGCACGTTGAAAATTGAGCGACTTTAAAAACCAGCTTTTCATTGGAACTTTCGCATTGGCGGTGGATCGGCGGGTCACTCTGACGATTCATGTCGAGAGACGTGGTTGTAAACTCTTTCGACCTGATGATGAGCTAGCTATAAGCTTGAAATTCAGTCGTTGAAAACGACTAACTGAGTAGGAACTATCTCTTTAAAAAGATTGAACTGCACTCTCACTCTACCATTTATCATTTGTACGTGTTGTTTGTATTTTGGTCAACATTTTCTGATTAAAAGCTATTAAGATATCTAGCTACAAATGATATGAAATTCATATCTTAATACTTTTATTTTCAAGTAAAAACAAAATTCATTGTACGATGACAAAAATATTATGGCATTATTATAATTTCTTTACTGATAAATTATTTTTCAAATATCAATAATCTAGGTTTGTGGGTAAGCAATTATTTGGAAAAGATTCAGGATAGATAATAAATCGCCGTTTTTTTGCGCTGTTATTATCGTCCAGTCAGGTCATTTAATTTTTAATTATCACGTTTTTTGTAGATGTGTCGAGAGATTATGAATCTTGGCGTTGCCCTTCCATGACTATTCGCGGACTTAAATATTGAGTTTGGGCAGCAGATAAGTCCCCGACTTGCAGACTTAAACAAAGACAGGAGTTTATACTTGATAAAACCCTATTCTTCCTAGAAATAACATACGGGAATAAGTATATTATTGCTTCAACGATCAATTTTTTTACGACAAATAAAATTTCAATCATTCCAATTAATATTCTTTTCAATTAAGGTTTTTAGTTGAGATAAAAAAAGTCAGTGTCGCGAGCGGGATTCGAACCCACGACCTTCGGCTTGATACGCCGCTACTCTACTACTTAAGCTTCGATACCCTCGGACTCTAACTTCCCAACTCAACCCCACCTTCGGAATTTTCCCTTCTTTTTGCCATTTTTCAAATGTCGTGTAATCTGTTTGATTCTCGGCGACAAGAGAAATGGCCACGGAGAGCTTTAGTCTTCACACTTCATTTTAAGTTATTAAATTCACTAGTTTTCGTGGTCCGCTTGACCAATTAT